AGACTGAGAAATCAAGCTGTATGTGACTTATTTAGTGAAGATGGTCCAAGGCTACAAAAGAATGAATTTTAATAAGTCAAATGCAAATTTTCTTACTAGTAATTACTTCTACAGATAACAGAGTGCTGAGTGTGTCATACACACCTGTCTGGTCACACACTAAGAGCTGTGGCCCAAGGCTTACATCCGTGCTTCAGCTCTCATGCAGCCAAATRTCTATGGTGAGGATGTATAAAGTACTGAGTTCTACTCTCTGCAACATTCCAGGAACAATTCCTTATCAAAGGGGTGGCAGGGAGCAAGAAATACAACTTCTGCAAAGCTGCCAGCTACCTAAACACATGTTTATTTGTGAAAAGTGTCACTCTGTTTAGAATTCTGAGAGATTGCCAAGAGGTATAATCCTAATACGATGCATGTCTGGAAAATATTATTTACATTAGGAGAGCAAGACTTCTTCCTAGATGCAGCTGAGCTCTCAAGAAAGAACTGCTGCCTAAATATCCAAATCAAGCTCCATGCTGCAAAGATATCTGTGACACAGCCTGGCAGAGATCACTACAGACACAGTCTGTAAGAATCCTCTCCCATGGTGAATCTAGATCGACAATTTCATTCAGATCATAAGATCACTTCTAAAATTCATAACCTGATTCTTCCCACTTACTACACTTTGCACCACACAGCAGTGTTAGAATGCATAAAATGGATTCTTTTCAGATGAAACTGAAGATGTAGCTCAGGTCTCCAGCTGCAAATAGGAATTCAGTCCATGGTCTCAGCCTGGTGCCAGTCTGAAGTGACATCCTGTCAAAAGGAATACGGAGTGTATTGAGCCTCCATCAGCAGCAGGAATTCTTCTCTACAAATATGCTCTTATTGAGCTGTATCACCRATGCATATTAACCTTGAAGCTTAAATTTTACCATTAAAGCATCTGATATTTTTGAGGGGGAGGGGGCATGGGGTTGTGGATATGAGCAGGAAGGTAGCCTTATTGGWCTGTAGGTTTTCTATGAAGGGATGTTAGACAAGCACTCCTCCATGTTAATTGCTTGAAATGGTGCAAAGGTTTTGAGAAATTGGATGACTGTAAGCGAGCAGAAATGTGTAAGTCAAAATTCTGTTGCCCACAGAATGCAGAAGATCATCATAAACTGACATAAAATCTTAGAGCTATGACAATGCTTTAAAACCCACACAAGTTTTTCCAAATATGGTCAAAAATAAAATGCAGCTGAGATGTAAGCAGATTTTAAAGAAATATAAATTACCAAAGAGAGATTTTTTTTCTTTGGTGAATTCTGTTTTATGGAGAGTTTAAAAGTTACTAATCAAATGAAAAGTCAAATGCTTTTCATTTCTGTAAGTGKTTGCATATCATAATGGTTCTTAAAATATCCATAAAGTTTTGTCTTCCTCCAAATAAAAGTGGCTATTTTTCTTTTAATATGGATGTAGTCTAACCTATGCTTGAAAATCTTTGCCAATATATTGAAGTTAGTTAAAACTGATGACATTTTGATGACATTTTTATGGCATTTCTCGCTAGAAATAGTCCTTGTACCAATGCTGTTACATAAAACTCAGGAACTCAAGAAAGATGAACTGTCAAAAGCACTTTTCTGCAAGTAAGAACTGCATCCGGTCTGGGAATGGATAATCACATAGTGAGGAAAAGTCTTTGTTCAAATATGGCAATGAGCTTTGTGTTTCTTAGTGAGTGAGTTATAACCTATGACAGTGCAAATGGGAGCGCACACTCCAGGAGTCTGCAGYCACACTGTTAAAGTTCCTAAGGCACAGGTACACGTGAAGAAAAGTAGTAACAAGCTCTTTTCAGACAGCATTTGCAGCAGCCATTTTCTGTCTGCTACTCTCTCATATCGATATATGTAATGTAGATATTTCAATTCTAATCTCCGAATGGATAGCAGTATATGCAATGAGGAGTTACACAAAGAGCATTGTCCTGCAGACCCCACAGGTTCCACAGTCAGAGACCCAAGTTGTCTCAATAGATATTCAATGCTAGAGGATGGTATAAAGACCTACAAGCCATATTAGGTATAAAAACAAGCTCCATGGAAAATGCAGTTCTGTGAAGAAAATGGAATATACAAGGGGAATCCCTTGTTTAGAGGTGATGTCTTCCTCTTACAAGAAAACTCAGGAGCAGAATCTGGTAAACACCTGTTTCTGATTAAAATACTTCAAAATGAGTGATGTTGCCTGTGGTTTTAGTAGGGGGGAACATTACCTTCCAAGCACCAAACAAGGTTTGAGGTGACGAGACCTCTCTGTGATGTGGCTGCTRCAACAAACCCTTTTGCTTTGGTAGTTTGTGGTTAGAAATGGCTTAAAGAATAAATGGCTGGAGGTAGGGGAAGAAATGTTTCAAAAACCTGCACACAGTGAGGTGATGCTTAGATGGAAAAGATTAACATGAATGTTAAACGTTATCAGAAATAATCTTTCAAAATCTTAATCCTTCAACTCAGCAGTTTTTTCTCTAGTTCTCAAAATTTCCATCATGGAGAAGGATCCCTACCCTACTCCAAAAGCCTTTTTGAAGGTCAGAATACATTCTGTGAGTACCAGCTCGTATCACGACTGTAGAAATCCGTTCACTACAAAACTTCATCTATTTTCTGCATGTAACTCATGTAATAAGGCAACTGCAAGGATCTGGGGCAAAAGTATCATCTCTAGTAGGCCTTGCTTTAAGGGTGAGAAGATTCTGTGTTTACAAACACAGGATAAAATACCAGTTATATGCAACAGTCAGAAATTAGCCTGTGTAGAATTTTAGCAAGGTTGTTACTGTTGATATTCCTATACAAAMATGATAGAGTAAACAAGGGTTTATTTCACTTTTAGCATTTCCATTTACGGAAATACCCTCCCTCCTAGGAAGCTTATTCAATTGCTGGACTTTCTGCTGGTTCTAAAACCTTGTGGCATATTATATAGTTTTAATTCAGCATACAGAGAATCAGTTTAATTCTTTATATTCTTTCTGGATGTTTGGACCTGGTTGATAATGTTGGCAATCTAGCATTCCCTGAGTGCAGTAAGGCTGGGGCAAAATATCTATCCTTATTAGGTAATTTCCTGTGCTAAAAGACAGTACAGAAATACCCTCCAGCCTATAGAATATAGTTTCATTCCCCTTCAATAGAAGCCTCTCTGTGTAAAACACCTTTTTCAACCTTGCAGAGACTGCTTAAGCTATCTTTCAGTGTGCAGTGAATCAGATAGCATATCTTTTTTGTTCTGAATAGCCTTGTTAATAGACACACAATTTCCACAATTGCTTTTATCACATATTATTCAATTAGCCACTATAAGATTTGTGTGTTCACTCCCTTCTCTGTTTGCACTAAGTTTTATCATCAGGACAGTACTTTGCTTCTCTTCTTTTCCCCCAGGTGATTTCATCACTTCCAGGCTGGGATCCAGGGGCAGACTAGAGAATCACTCAGAGACAGAAATGAGCTGTTAAGCAGCTTGCTATTCCTAGGCTGAAGTCAAGATTTCATGGTACAAATTAAATAAGAATGAAATGCTTGTGTATCAGCTAAAGCTGATGAAAGTCTGGGGCTTCAAGAGTTAATTTCCCATCATGTTCTTGATGGTATCCCAAAGCTTAGATGGTTTGCTTGTCGAGTTCCTGAGGGTGGGGAATGAGAGGAACTTGTGAGTGGCCTCTGGTTTTACCAGTGTATAAGGGAGGAAGTCTGTAGTGGCTGAAATTCCCCCTTGCACACAGATCCAGGTGAGCGGTGAACAGGCTGCTGCCAAAAGCAGAACCTGTGGCACAGGGGCACAGACTGAAGGGGAACAAGCCAGACAAAGAAACTTCACTTTTCCAAGACATTAGTAACTTACTGTGAAGCAAGAAGGCGCTTTGCAGAATGAGAGCATTCTCCCCTTGTAGCCAGGCCCCATCCCCAACATCCTGCCCTGCGCCCCTTCGCCTCTGCCACTGCCAGAAGCTCCGTAYGAAGGACATTTGTTCAGCACAGCCAAATGCAAGTGGAACAGTGGGATATGGAGAGGGGAGAACATCAAGGGAGCAGAGCTAACACAGAATCTCTGCAAGGTGTTTCTGCACCTGACTCTTTTGACAGGATGCTGTAAATCTTGTCCTCTAGTTACTGTTAAAGTTACTGTTACTTCTCTCAGAACCAGAGAGAAGTCATGAAGAAGTAGAGCATGTAATATGAAGAGGAGCATGTAATACTTTCTAATTTTGCCACCCGCTTTCTCCTTGCAGGAGTTATAAAAAAAAAAAAAAAAAAAAAAGATTTCACAAGAAAAAAAAAAGGGGGACAAAGTATCTTTTACTGAATTATTTACTCTTTTGCAAAGCTGATGACGAAAAGTCATTATGGGCGTAACTTCAGCTTTTTGTGAAAACCTAAAGAGGTGTATTTGAAACTACATGCTCTTTTTTTCCTACCTGCTAAGTATTGCCACGTCATTTCAACACAGGACTATTCTTAAAGCAAATCTACACCACTGCACTGGCCTCACAGAAGCTGTCAGGGCTGTGTCCTTATGCTGTGTCATTAAAGCTGAGAGCAGCAGCACCCTTATGGTTTATCTCCTGTTTTCCCTGGAGTGCTGCACCCACGTGTTCCTTTATTTGGGCAGGCAAGGGAAGGCAAAGCACCTGTCCATGCTGGGGCAAACTGCCTGCTAGAGAGCCACAACTCCCTGAAATAATTATGCAAACTGGCTCGAGCTGTGATGTCACAGCGCGCTGATAGACCCAAGGGCTATCTGCCGTCTACAGACATTTGATAAAATCAGGAACTTCGCATACAACTCGGGAAGAAAGTCACCTCAGAACCTACTAGGGCAAACTATGAAAACTTGTTAGGGTCCTCTTATCCTGAGATCCACCACTGCTAAAGGACTTCACAAAGTCCGAGGATCTCACTTTTTCATTTTTCTTCCTTTTTTCTTTTTTTTTTTTCTTTTTTTCACCCCTTTTTCTCTTAAATATGATTTTTTGCGAGTCAGTTATTCTGGATGTTTGAAAACTGAATTAAGAAAAATTCRCTCAGAAGTTGGCTGAATGTTGCAAGCTTGCAAAATGGAAGGATTTCCCCTTATTCCCCCTGTGAGTATATGGGATTTATTTCTAATATGGATCATTGGGCTCAGTAGGAAAAGGCAAAGTAAACCAGGTTTTATTATTTGCAAATATCTCTGTTTTGGTCTGCGTTTGTAATGCCAGGAAGTTTGGCTAAGGTCAATATATAAAACCAGTGACAACACTGTAATGAAAGGGAAATTAACATTTCCTCCGCAAACTTGTATCTGATTTTGATCTCCATTTGTTTTCACAGATTAAATGTATGGTATTTTTGTACAGTACGTTTATAGCAAGTCAGTAAATCTCTTTTCTTCAGTGCCGCCTGCGTGATAYAAAAGCCGCCTTTCTTCAGATTGTAATTCCTTATCATCTGAAGTCTCTGACTTAGTTTATGTATTTAACTGTCTACCAATCTGTGAGAGGAGAGTTGTTGAATGTTGCTATTACATATTGCATATTTTAGGACTGTGGTTTTTTTGCAATGATGACATTTTAGTTTTTAATTTAATCTTTTCTTGAACTGAATTCTCTTGAACTCGCTTACTATGAAAAAGCAATCGGCAAATGGGGAAAATATCCTACAGTCCTTCTTTGGGTCTTTCAATATTTTCTCTAAGATACAAATGTGTTCCTATAGGACAGGTCTATCCTTTCCTTAACTCTGAAACATTGTTGCACTGCTGTAATTTATTGAATGGTGAGTTCAAAAATTAGTATTTATGAAGAATGTAAAGTGACTAACCTGTTGTTTGGAAACCAGCCTTGATGGGAAATCTCTAAGCAGAATGGGGACAAGAGGTCTTAAACAGATTTCAGTAAGTTTGTAGAAGCTGAAGAGGTGTCAGATAAGGTGGTTTACTTGTCGTTTAATGTGGTAGATGGCTTACAGTAATCGCTATATGTGTGTCAGAGAACAGAAAGGGACAATGCAGATCCAAGAGTTTTTATCAAAAACTTGTATCGAGTTTTGGTTTTGTCTTGTCCCATTTAATGATGGCTAAAGACATTTCTAATCTTCCAGAAAGAACGATGGCCCTTTGAATTCCTGTCATGTTCAGAATTCATGATGATTGAAAGTATTTGTCTTCTTTTTGGGGGAGACCCTTTCTTTTCTCAGTTTATCATCATCAGTGTCTCTGAAATCACCTATCTATCCAAAGGGTGAGAAGACACTAAAAGTTATTTTTCTTTTTCTTAAACACAGAGCTGCCCAATGGACCTACTCTAAGTGCGAGAGAATAGAAATCTGAAAGGAAACTGAGAAAATAAAAACGTATATTGAGATTCCTCAATATGTTACTTGTTGGGCTTAAAAGAAAATTAAAAAGAAACACAAACCTTGTCCTTAGCTACCCCAGAAAACAGCATCTCCATTAAAAAAAAACAAAACAAAACAAAAACCCCAATTGTTAATTTTCTGTCCATTCATTAAATCATAACCAAGTTTTCTGGGGTTTTTTGGTTTTTTTTATGTTTTGGTTTGGGTTTTTTTTTAAGTATTGAATTCCAGGGCATATGTTGAACAAAGGGAGTGAAAATCTAACACAGTTTGGCCCATATTCTAATTTGTGTTGCAGTTAATATTCTGTCTGAACTCTGTTCAGATGAGTGATACAGTGAAAACACAGTGAAAACACAATTACATCTTATTGCACCACTTGACAGGGCAATTTGGTTTTCATTTTTGTGATTAAACTGTCAAAAAAATAGTAATTTTTTGGTTTGTACTTTCAAATTTGCTTCAAGTGCACGTTGAGCACGGCCAGCTAGAGCCCTGCATGTCTGTGTCTCCTGGGACTTTTTCAGCGGGGAGACATGAGCCWGTTTCTAGGCAGGGGTTTCTGTGCAGCAGCACCTCCCTCCTCCACCCCTCCCGTTCAGTTGAGGGTGGGTCAGTAACTGCCTTCYTCTTGCCTGTGTTAGGAAACTCTTCTCCTTCACTTGGAAAACACTGTTTAAATGCTTTAGGAGTACTGCATCTTCCTCTGAAGATTAGGAATTTTGTGGGGAAAAGTTCTGCAAATTGGGTCTGCGTCTTCCAATCCATGATGAAATGTAGTTGTGTTACGAGTCAAAAAATTATGAAGTCAAACACCTTTGCCTAAAGAGGGTTCCAGTTGTGTATGAACCCCTAAGTAGCCACCTGGAGAAATCACAGCTTTGAATGAAGTATTTTTGCATGAGAGCAAAAATGCCCCAGAGGTTCTCTGTTCCACGTAGCTGCATTGTCAACACGGTCCAGTGAGGCTGGCCCAATGAGTAATTGTGCTAATATTTTTACTCATCTTTTCTAAAATAGTTATACTGTAATTTTTTTCCAAGGAAATATAGTTAGTCTTGGCCTTAAAGCTTGTCTCAGCAGCACATCATTGGAAATTGTCTGGAGTATTTCTGGATCACATGCCAGTGAATGTCAAGATAACAAAAAGATCAGCRTTTAGTGAATTTACAATTGCCTGGAATCATCTTATAAAGTCTTAGGGTGTAACAAGACTTTCAGACTGCTATACAGTTGAGTCCAATGTATCTCTCTCAACCAATGCCAGCTGAGCTTTCTCTGAGTGGTTTTGTGGCTTTTCCCTTGAGTTTCAGGGCAAAGATGGAAGAGAGAGGTCACTCTTCATTTATCAAAGTCTGTGACAGAAAGTATTGTTTGTTGACCTCTTACTTGASGGTAGAATATGGTTTTAGGTAATATACTGCACCTCATGGCATGTGTGAAAGGAGACACCAACTTTAGACCACAACTATGAGCTCCTAACAAAGCCTTCAGTCACTCTTTTACATGGAAACACCCGATAGAATAAATGGTCATTGACATCAGTTAAATATTAAACATAAGCCATTCTTTGCTTTTTGTCAGGMGTAACAAAGCAGTTCAGTCTCATGGAAGTGCTGTCAGCAAGATGATGAAATGAGTGTGGGTGGGGAGGTTCCAGAGAAGTTCAGGGCAAGTGGGTAAAGACTGGCACAAGAGGCAACAGCAGTACTTGGTGAAACCTCTTCTCTCTAATTAGAGAAAAAGTTTCTAAAGAATTTTTTCTTAAAAAAAAAAGAAACCAAAACAACAAAAAAGACCCACCACAAAAAACCAGAAAGCAGTTAAAAGCAGGTTATTGGAAATAGCGTCTCCAATAATTAGAGGGAAACATCCCACCTTCCCATAGGATAATCAGAGAGAATGCATGCTGCACTATCTCCTTTAAACACCATCGAATAAGTTTATCTAAACTGACTTTTAAATATTTAATGTGCATCTCCCCATGTTAGTTACTGTGCCCTTGAAGATCAGACACCAAGATAGAAAGCGGTGGCATTACAAGCCATTTGTGGGGACGGACTGGCCCATGAGTTAAAAAGGATATAATCATGCRTCTTTTATCAAAAGAATCTCTGTGCAGAAAACAAAGTCACGGACAAAAATTCCAAGAATCCATAATAAAGAGAATTTGAGCCCCAGACTTCCAAAGCAGAGTTTGTAGTACCCCAGTGCCCTCTGTAAAAGCAGACTGGATTTTTGGTGTTGAGTATGTGCAATTCACTCTGCCGTCATATCCGTAACTATTAAGGGAATCGTTGTTTCAGGAGTCTATTTAACACACCTCACTTTAGCTCTGGTCATTGAATACGCATCTGAACTTGAAAAAGTACCTTTTGAATGGTAAAATACTTCATTCTCACATCTCAGACTGTGAGATGCTATTGCCTGTTAATGTATATTGGTCTGAAGTATGGAAGTTTGGAAAATCTTTGGGAAGAGACAACAAAGGAAAAACACAATTAGGAAAAGTCAAATGTTCTTTTCCATGCCTAAAATGTGTACTGTTTATCTACTTTTGGACTGATGCTTGGCCTTCCTGCAAGCTACACTTCTGTAAAGATGTAAGTGATGGATGCTTTGTTGAAGCAGTGGAAATTTTAGGAAATTAAACCTAAATTGTCAGGATACTGATTTCTTTGGAGATTTGTTTACTTTTGGCAAAATAGTAATCAGCATTACAAACTTTAATGCATTTAGATATTTAATTTTTTATAATTTCTTTCCATTTCAGTTGAAAAGAAATAGTGATTTTTCTTTCAAACGATATACATTAGCATGTATTTTCAACATCTGTTTTTCCCAACTAGCATAATGTGCATTTTCCCTTTGGATGTTGACGACTCCCCTTTCAAAGAACATGAATGCTTTCCTTTGAGTTATAATAATTTATAATATAAACTATAAATGTAGTTTTTTATTTATAATATAAATTATAATAATTTACAATTATGAATATGAAGGTATAAGTTTATATGTTTTTCAGGCTGGTGTGATTTAACAGGAAGCATAGAATTATAGAAAGGAAACGMGGGAGTTGGATGAACTAATTTGCAACGATAATGAAAAGTAGAAATTCCATTCAAAAATTTATCCAGAAGATAGCAAAATACAGTCTCATTACTTTTTCTTGTCTGACATCAAAGTACACCAAAGGTCGAAAGAATGAAGATGAGTAAATAGATATAACCATAGAGAGAACACCAAGAAAATACATAGAGAAAAAGCAAAAACATCAGAGAGAATGCCTACTGTACTGTCTCTTTGACCAACCCTCTGAAGTCTGGAAAATAGGTTGTACTTCCTGTTTGATTTCTGTGTAGATAAAGGGCAATTTTATTGGAATCACATAGATTTGGAAAGGGAGACTGTACCTACATGCTCTGGAGACCAGAGAAAAGAAAAGAKACAGAGAATTTCGTCTGTGGGTGCAATTCAATTGTGGTTTGCCCCTTTTCCTAGGTCTTTCCCTTAGATAGCCTTTATTGGGGGTTGTGTTCTTCTCAAGATTTCCCCAAAGCAATTACCCACCACCACAGATTATACYTGGAGCTGATAGCCAGGCAATGGATTTTCTCCATTTGAATATCCCATGGATCTGATTCCCAATTAGTGTGGTGGTGGTAGTCGTGCAATTTTAGACAATCTCACCAGATCGTTTCAATGATACACTAACACAGCACGTGGCTGCCACTAAGGATTTACCAAGGCCCAAARTAATATTTTTTAAAATCTTTTGTTGGGGTGTTTTTGGTATGTGTTCTAAAATCTTAATCCTCAGAATGGGAAATCTTTAAATCCTCAGATTCTAACTGAATGAACTGAAAGAGTTAACCAGAAGAATTAAAGAAACCAGAAAAAAAAATGCTTTCCTTTTGGTAGCTGCTTATCTACCACCTCCATCTGGATTTTATGGCAGCTGCTACCTTAGGTTTCACATTCTCAAGCAGTCTAGAGGAGTAAGAAAAAGAGAAACTCTSCTGTGTTTCTGTCACGCTGTCACCACAGCACAAGCCTACAAAATACAGATGTTCCAAAAATGTGACAGGTTCATGGAGGGAGATAAAGGATTTGGGACATACAGAAATATGAACACAAAAAATATTCCCATCATGTCAGTTATCATGTTATTTTAAAKATTTATCCTTCGAAGTTAGTTATGATGGAGCCACTAATAGAATTAAAACATTTCTATTAATACATACTAGAAAAAAAATTCTTTYCAGAAAAAGGCAAGAAGGTGACTGAGTTCTCCTTTGCTGTTGACGCTGCAAGAATTTGTTCACATTGGAACAAAAAAAAACCTAAATGGACTAAGGTTTAACAAAAACCCTGTGACAGACACTGTCTTTCTCTAACTCTTCATTCTGGAAAATAAACAAGAAGGAACAATAAATGAAGCAACGAAACTGTGCACAACTAATAATAAACAACCTTAATTATAGAAATGTAGGATCTTAATCAGTATTCCTATTGGAATRCTAGGCCTGAGGAGGAGGAGAAGAGGGAGAGTTACCCTTTGTCACCTCTTTTAAGAAGCTAGAGAGGACTTTCATTCTACAGCTTAGCATCCAACAGGTCATGACTCACTATTTGCCCCACAYCTGGACTTTTTRAGTCTTCACTGTTTATATCTAAAASCTCYGTRTAGTTGATTTGAACCAGCAAACACTTACAGTTCATCTTGRTCAGTATCAGAGAAAGAAAATGTTTTTATGCCCCCTGTCAATGTCACTACTCTGGTACAGACTGCCACCATTTAGTCAGACCTTGTAGAAACAATCAGAATAAAATATTTAGGCAGGACAAGTTTCTGCTTTCTCTCTCGTGTGCAGGAATGATAATAGTAATAATCATGATAATGATAATAATAAATAAAAGAAAATTTCTGTTCCTAATGTCCACAACAGCTCTAAAGTAGCATCCTCAGAAGGCTGGAGTGTGGGATATAAGGGATTTGTTTATTATAACAGGACAAGTTCTGCTATACAGGATGGGTCTCTTTTCTACTGGGATTACTCTTCAGGTTTTTTTTTTCTCTTTTTTTTTTCCAAACCAGTGTTTCTGATGCCGAACGATTAACACTGTTTGGAAAGGTTTTGTGTTTTATTCCAGGCAACATTTGGTGTCACACATTTATTTCTGCTGATTCAATAAAACTTGAAGTCTCCCCCTTTTTTCCCTAGGCATCAGCCCTTCACTAACTGTATGAATAATTTGGAAAGGATTTGTGTAAACTTACAGTTCTAAAAATTCCTCTTCTTTTTACAGCCCTCTGAAGATATGGTACCCTATGAGTCAGACCTCTACCGACAGCCCCATGACTATTACCAGTATCTCAACAGTGATGGAGAGAGTCATGGTGGTAAGTCAAAAAATATCTCCTTGGAACATAAATGGGATACCACAGGAAACAGATTTAGGACATACAAAAAAAGAACAAATTTGTTGCTGTGATCTATTATGTATAGGCACATATTTTCAAGTCAGAAACCAACATTATTTTATTCTGCTTAATGGCRCTGTTCCAACCCAGAAACAGCAACATGTTCTCTTCTGAAAGAGCATTTTAAAAAGCACTTTATGATGCAAGGACCTTCTAGGAAAGTGAGATCTCATTATCTCTATCCTTCATTATCTTTACTGGGTTTTTATTTTCCTCTGCAGATCAAAAACATTAAGCTTGCATCTCAGCTTTTTGAGAGCATGGATTTTCAACACTCTTTTTGTGTTCCCATGTCCTATTCCTATTTAGGTCCTAGATAATCTCTTTGTGCTTTTATTTTATTTAGGTTTCTTTGGTATTTAGCCTTTTTCAACTCCATATATTTTTCTCTTTCTTTTGATCTCTACTGCATGCTGCAGCACCTAATTTAAACTTTCACTCTTCCTTCAGTACACCCAAGTACTTCCTTTCTCTAAATCTGTGTAAAACTTCCTTGTAGCTGTTTGTACATAAACGTAGGTCAATGTAAAAAATGCTGCATGATTATTTATTACTTCAATTTATGTATGTATGYGATTTCAAAGCTTTGGTGTCTATATTTTAATGTTGTCTGGCCTCTGCAATCTAAATCAACGCAGAGGCAAGAGTCTTGCTTTGTGAATTCTGTCTCCTGTGCCATACAATGGTCCAGCAACACCACCCTGGAAATACCAGAGTCAATATTGACTCAGGAAGGAAAAGCACCGTTCTGCTGCACTGCTGGTGGCAGTCCCTGCAGATCCTGGAGTTTCCCTGAAAGACTCCCAATGATCCAGCAACCAGACCCACTGATGTTTAGTTTAAGACATGAGCTAGTCAGAGCACAGCACTGTTTTGTCAGCAGCAGTGGCAGATATCTCAAGRAGCAGTGAGTTATAGAGTAAGATCTTTCTGAGCATTTAGCTGAAAATGATTTCTACCTAGATTTTTTCTCTACATAGCATTCAGAAAACACCTATTTTGTTCTTAACACCTACAGACAAAGAATTCATTCAGTTTTTATAAGTTATCTCATGGCATCTGTCAAGCCTCATTAATCAAACCCAGCAAATCCCACGTGGAAATTCAGGGTTTTTACATTATACCCCATACCTGTTTGCACACTCATAAAACAGGATAACATTGATTATCTCAAAAGGCAATTGTGACAATKAAACAATAAATACAAAAGATGCCCTGTAGGAAAAAGTACTGGGAAATAACTCTTYTGTCAGTAAACCTAGGCTAGTTCAAGCAGCAACATCCCTTTATCTTTGATTATTTTATCACCCCATCTGGTTTACTGCCCATTTTTCTATTGAAAGGCTGTTCCTAAGCTACATTTCTCAGATCACYAACATGTTTTTGCTCATCATAATGAACACAACAAAAACTGGCTAGTCACCTATATGGGTTATAGCCTAAGCAGTACATAAGCACTCACTTTAAACAGAAATTTGTCTGTTCCTAAAGTTGTGCAACATTTGCCCTGAAGAACCCAAAACCATATTTTCAACTCCTACAGTAAGTGCTTATAGAAGAGGCAACTTAAACCCAGCCTGCACRTTTCAATCAAATTTAGTTATGAAAGCACCTGGAATGTAATTGGCTGTGTCTAATGTGCCCTGTGACTGAATTGGTCACAGCCCAAAAGAGCAATGAACAACCAAAGAATACAGATGAAAACCACAAATTATTGCTTCTTTCCTATAAACACTGAAAAACCCAATTTTGGCTTTCATTTTGTTTGCATGACAGAAAAGTGGAGTCTTGAGAAGAACGATGCAGAAGAGCAGGAAAATGATGCCACAAACTACATTTGGAAATATATACTAAACGTTCAGAAGTGGATAAAGTAGATAAAGGCACAATGATTGAAAAATRGAGGGGGGAAAGGAATAAAAAAGGTGCTGCAGTGACAGCAGTGAAAGAGACAAAAACCTGATTAGACAGGGGAAAAAAAAAGAAGAAATAGGAACAGAATTTTGAGAGAGGAGTTCAGCTGGGGGTACAGTGAGATCACTGTCAATACAAAAAACAAATTTACTGGTCTACTCAGTACCACTGTGCACCTCAGAACTATMAGTTAATGTAAATAGATGCTAGTAGACAAAATAATACTTCTGATTTTGCAGACAAAGGACTGCTAAAGAAATAGAAAATCTTCCTCAAGTGTTGGACTCTGTCTCCCTCTCACTACTAGCAAATTAATTTTGTGGAAGGGAGACGGTAATGTCTTAATCTGTAGATCTGTGCTACAAGCATTACTGTCATTTTTCTCAAACATAATGCTCAAGGAAACCTTAACTCCGTATTTACACAAATAGGCAGTAAAGTACACCAAATAGTGCACCACTAGTGAGGAAATAATTTCCAATAAGGGAACWCTAGATTTAACAAGCAAAACCACAACGTGATATGTTCATCATCGTGTGCACTGTGTGCAGTTATTTTCTATACTCCAGTTTAACTGTGTTTTAAATACTGTAATGAATGCAGAGACACAGTCATGCAGGACAGAAGCTGCTTCAAGTGATGGTCCAGCAGTCCATCACCCTACCCTGAGCTTGTAAGTCGGTATGCGTAACACAGMGTATTTTGCAACACTATTGCAATCTTAGTAATTACAAAACTTCACTGCAGCTTTGTCTCTAAATTATTACCAAATGTTATGGGTTCAGTAAAAATCACTTTTTGATGAAGCTGAAGGCTGACCCCTGTTCACTTCATTTCTAGCCTTGTGGAACTTACTAGATTTCGTGATCTGGGGTTTTATTTTTGTCCCGTATCCTGGAGTAATATGATCACTTAAGAACCTCAGCTTTTATTTTATTAGCCCACATAGAAGTGGTGGAAAGTCCAAACATGTGAACTTTAGGCTTAAATGTTATATGAAAAGGAGAGAGAATTCCAAACTTCATTTAAAAATCCCCTCCCTTCAAAGCTGTTCTCATGATCTGATGGGGCCTGACTCATAGGTTTTTGAGCATWTAGCATTATTAAAGCCATAAAATTTGTAAAGCGAGAGCTAATGAGAGTCCAACATTATTTTAGAGAAGACTGATGTCCTGCTCAGGACCACAACACTCTTCTCCAGGATCATTCTTTAGTGTCCTATCAAGACATTCATTTTTCCAGTGTCCTTCAATATTTTTCTCATTTCCTCTATGGGTTTTTTCCTTGACTTGTTTTTTCAGATGTGCCAAACACAGTGGGAATGTGTAAGTTATGCAGTGTGGAGCTGTGAAAGAAACCCTCTCCTAGTTGAACATGGGTCAGAAAATGTGCCCAGTCCAGAGCAGAAGCAGCAGAACCACAGTGCCAGCACTGCCCAGGGCAGCAGTGCCAGCAGTGTCCCCTCAGCCCAGGCACAGCTGTGCTGACAGAGCTCTCACGTTTCCTGTTCAACAGCTGGCTCAGGAATTTCTGCAGTTTTGCACTGCATAATGAACATTTAGCCCCTTGCTCCACTTCTATAATAAATGCCTTCCTTGAGCCTGTTTCGTTCTACCATTATTCATCTATTRAAACAGGAGCAAAGCAATTTACAGTGATGAGAAGGTGAAGGGAAAAGTCCAGTCCTGTTTTCTCACTTGTGSAGTGAGAATCTATCTCCACAGTGAATATTAACACAATGCCTTTGGRTCAGCTATTGCTTCCCAACAGGCTAACATCCTCCTTGTCATGGGAGGGAGTTCAGAATTCATGATTGTCCTTCCTCTAACCTTTCACTGCATACAAGACCAAAACAAACATGATCTCCATGTCTCTGTAAGAGAGAATTTTTTTTCACATCCTCTTTCACTTCACATGAAATTTCTCATAATGACTCCATTGTGCAGCTATAGCTTGGCTTTTATGATATTTTCCTTTACTCAAAGAGCAGGCACTTTCCATTTCTAGAACTTTTCTCTCCTATCTTTTTTCTTCCTTCCACCTACAAGTTTTAAATAAAAAACATGATTGCTGTGTGTTACTGACATAACACTAACAGAGAGCATAGAAGTGTTTCTGGTAACTCAAATATCTGCAGACAGAGATATTTAGATTTTTCATGTGCAATAACTTAGCCAGGAAGATTAACTGCAGAAGAATTTGTGAAGACAGACTTGTAATTTCTCTGCTAATGTTACTAAACCAATATTGTTTTTCCTAAGCATCACTGGGAAATCATAGATGATTTAGAAAGAATAAGGACTTTGCTCCCTATCACAACTTGAATATTTGGACATAAGATTTGAAGTAATTTCTGACATAGATTTTTGTAATGTAATACTATTATGTCATTACTTTAAATCCTAAATGCTGTGCTGATAGTATTATTTTATCAAACTATTTCTACAGCAGCATCTAATTCCATCAAATAGTAATGTAGTAATTAATAGGCTAACTATTAACTAGTTGTTAGCRTGAGTATACATAAATAGTGTTCCATAGGTTAATTAATTTGCCAAGGGAAAAATTAAAACATTCTGSAGCAACAGCAACCTTGTCATAGGCTCCAAAAAACAAAGAGGTATCTTGGAGTGTAAAAACATGACTGCTGATAAAAAATATTGTGAAAGAATCAAAAGCAGACCACTTAAAGCATGCACAGATACTCTTGGCTATACATATTGGAAATGTTCTKTGATCTCTCTTAACACCATAATTGCTGCAAGTAAGACATTCCACAGTTGAAGACCTACCATTGGCAGCCTCAGGGACTTTTTCCTGGGCTTTGTCATCCTCAAAATAATGGATTGACCTCTGTTGTTGTAGATTATCAGTGACAAGGGATCTTTGGGAATATACATGGCCTTCTGACAGAGCACTTTCCACACAGCAAGCAGAGCCAGAGCATTGTAAGGAGCAAGAGTTTAGATTACTCCTGCAATGTATTCTCAACAATTCAGTATGCAGGACTGCCCATGGTGTRGGGGACCTCAATGGTTGGCTCTATTTTGAGAAATCTGCAGTAATTTAACCCAGAGAAAATGTGAGTTAGTGTGGCTCAGTCTTCCAACTAAATGCAAAAGTTTCACACAGAAAGTGCTCAAAGCTTCCTGCCAGGGCACAGCCTCAGATAACCTCTGGATCCAACTCACCCATTCAGCTGTTTTCTGGATTGGAGCAGATGTGGATGTAAAAATACCTGGGTAYTTTGCACCCATAAACCCCACTTTTTTACTCTAGAAAGTGAAATTTTTGTCTTGAACTRCAACATGAAGAAGTGCTGCTGTGCATTGTGATTACCTTAGAGCTATCAAATCCATACACAGTCCACAGAAAGTGCCATAGAACACAGCAAAGAAGTTACAGAGYAATGCAGCAGCTCCCTGGATGCTTTCATAAGCATCTTTCCATCCTTTCACATGCAGTGATGAGGTTTATTCATGAATSAGAAAAGCAGAAAGGACAAAAAATTAAGTGTTTGTGACATCAAGGGTCTGCAAATAATTTCTACAGGCTGAGCACAAAGGCAGCTAAAAGAGCTTAAAGCTTCTTGGGTACAGCTATGCTTGGTATAAACTTATCACTGACCACTCTAAAGGAAGCCACATTCAAATTTGCTCTCCTGGATTTCAAATCCTCARTGTGATTACACTGAACTGTTTGAAACAATCAGTGGGGAAGGATGAGCAGACAGAAGGTGAGAAAAAGAAYGAAGTTGATATTTAAGAAAAATATTCATAGCACATTAATATCCAGAGAATGTCATGCACAATAACATCAAATTGCAGAATGAGACAAGTGTTCCTCTATAAATTCAACTGTACTTAGAGGAATATGTTTAATTCTGTCCATTGTGTTATCAGGAGGATGTCAACAGCTGGGAGAAGTGCACGAGTGTGAATAGGGGGTGAAATACTGATTTACACTGAAAGGCTGAGACCTGAAGCTAGGTTAAGTGATAATTAGAATGGATTGTAAGGCTACATGACAGCAATATGAAAACATATGAAGGGGAGGACAGAAATTATTTATAATAGTACAAGGGTAGAAAACTTCAAATAGTAAGATATAAATTAGAACTGTTACACAGAACATCATAAAGACGTTTAGGTCATGCATAAAAAAAATATATAAAAAAGTAAACTCTGAAAGATTAGTTCCTGGCTCAATCAGAGCAGAGAACATGGTGTTGACAATGATTTTATATGTGCAAAATTATGTATGCAGCTATTGTATGTGAGAAATAGAATTTGCAATACTTCACATTTCTTCCAGAAAATTTTAAATTTTGAGCTGCAAATATGACATCCTAAAAACTTGAAGGCTTATGTTGAACTAAAAAAGCCTGAAATCAACAACTGAGAATGACACAGAATTTCATTTCAAAGGTAAATTAATCAGGAAACAGGATAGTGGTTATTTAAGTACTTCCTTATGTTTGCAGAAAAAAATCCAAATGATCACAGAAATTTCAAATGTACTAAAGAGATAAAAAGGGTAGATAAAGAGTCTGCATTAGAATTTAGCCTTCCTGTAAACAGTATACACCAGATTTCCACATCTGTTTACCTTTTTATTCGCTAGTATTGGTACTTAAAAATGTGTGATATAGCAAYACAAGATTACAGGAAATATCTAGAAAAGTACCTTTTCTGCAGAATTCCTGCAATTTTGCTAGCAGAGCAAAATAAAGACTAAAGATAGCTGCAGAAGAATCTTTACATTTTTTCCACATCATGGTTCCATGCCATGAGGAAGAGAGTAATAAGAATATGACAGTATGTAAATCAGTAGAATTTGTTCCCTCAAGAATGACAATGTTTTGAAACTTGTTATGGTCTCTTCCTGAGAAAGGTGCCAGCATTAGTGTCTTTTGCATCTTGTGTTAAATTATCTTTGAAATCCATCTTACCATCTGAGAGTATTTTCCTCACTAAAGTGGTCTAAGTATTACTTCCCAGCCCCAGGAATTTGTGAGGTTAGGAAGAGAAACTTTACAGGGATCTCTACAGATTGCCAGCAGAGACAGTCAGGTTGATAGGAGTGGTGTGGAGAGAGCAGAAAGGGCAGGGACAGGAGTAAGATCAGTGAAAGCCAGGTAAATACCATGTTCCTTAATCTTGCAATGATTTATTTTTTTTTTCTTTAGATCATTACTGGGATTATCACCCACACCACATGCACAGTGAGTTTGAGACCTTTGGAGACAACCATTTCACAGAACTGCAGAGTGTGCAGCCTCCCCAGCTGCAGCAGCTCTACAGGCACATGGAGATTGAGCAAATGCAYGTCTTGGATTCTGCAATCCCAACCACACACATCGGACTCAACCAYCAGGTATGGCTACCAACCCCTGCTYRGAATTTCAGATGATAATTAATGGTAAGGAAAATAATGCATTAGGGACTGCATACTCTTAAGCAGAAATTAATTACACAAGTTCTTGTGGCATTTGATGTAAAGCCCTTCATTCTCAGGACAAATGTGTTTTGAACACTCTTTTCACCTAGACCATGASAAGTCACACTCCTCAGACTGCCTAAACAGAGAACAGCATTTTGTGGAGGTGTTTGCAATTCCAAATTTTTGTTTCATTTGGAATGAAAATCAACAGGTTTGGAATTCTGCTGATGAATTGGACCTGGGAAGCTTTATATCATCATAGCAAGGGTTCCCATGACTATTAAAAGTAATTCTGAACTTTGAAGTAGCAGTAAAGTTTTAAATATTTCCAAGGAACCCTGGCAGTTTCACATGACTGGTGCAAGAAATGCCAGCAAAGACAAGTCTCTGGTAATTCCACCACAGGCTGAGGAGAACCTGCTTGTGCTTCTACCTGGGATAGGYAAATAAACCACAAGCGAAAGCAAACTGTCTTGTTTTTGCTCACATTTTACATAAAGCCAGTCATTTCCCCATTAAAAAAAAAAGGTACTCCACTATGCAGTAAAGACAGTCACCAAAGCACCAGTGAATTCTCACTAAAGCTGAAATTATGAGATGTTCCATGATMCTGCAAAGATACTAAACACAACAGGTGTGGAAATCACTCCTGATCCTACAAGAATATCCCTAAAGTCATTGCTGGGAGCAGTAARAAAGCTGGGAGATCTTTCTTAGGARATTCCCAACCTACGTTAAATAGCCTAAATACAAGACAGAGTAGAACTAAAGTCAGAGCAAAGAGCATTTGCTGATTACAGTGCTGCATGTAACAGTATCCTTGCTGAAACTTTGTGAGAAAAACTGCATGCATGGGGTTATCATTTTGGGTTTCTTTGTTCAAAGCAAACTGAAATTGTATGTTAATACTGTATTAATCAAAAAGAAAGAAGAGAAAAAATAGAATGAGTAAGTTAACACTGTCAACAGGAAACTGCAAGCCATCAAAAAAATCAGGAATAGAATATAAGATGTAGATACAAACAAAGAATTAGGAACAGAAAGTTACAAATATAAAAAATGGTTCATGGAGCAGGAGCCTGTGGGAAGCTTSAAGTCGTTTCAGTTGCTCATTGCAACTGCTTATACTAATGACCAACCATTACCTCTGGCCAGGGGCAAAGGGTAATGAGCCCCGGAGGGATGTCTTTGGAAGCACAAGCCACAAACAAGAGAGGACATTTCTGCTTACCCTCCTTCATTCTACTCAGCTATGGTCTTTCATTTCAGGAGGAATGGCAGGGAACCAATTTTGTTACAACTTCTGATGAAGAGCACTGTGCTCTCTCTGCCCCACCCCGTACTGCTGAAGATGTCAGTATGTAGAACTCACCACTACCCTCCTTTTCCTTACCAGCCGGGGAACTTTGGCTTTTTGTTTTATTTTTTTTCCTAGAATAGGTCATGCTAATAATACTTGGCATGCTCTGAGGYTCAGCTTCTGCCGTGTCTCAGTCACAATCCCAGGCAAAGAAACAGAAGCAGGATCTCATTTTAATCCTCCTCTGAATTTGCTAATTTACTAACTAGCATGCTCATCCTGCAATATCAGAGTTACCGCTTKCAATGAAGATATTGCTCTTTTTTTCTGATGAGATCACATTACTTTGCGACATCAAATTTAAAGTATAACAAGTTCATGAACAAAAAATTTTTGGAAAGTTTTGTTAGCATGACAACAGGGGCCTCACAAATAATAAAATAAGAATATTCATTCTGAAGGGAGAATGAAAGGAAAAGTTGGAAAACAGTGAGAAGAACTTTGGAAAGAGGAAAATCACACATGAGGGCCACAGACCTTGAGAAAACATTAGAGTACGGAAAGTAGTTAGCATGTCCTTGAGTTTTCTCTCTCCAGAACTGWGTTAGTAACCTTTAGCTCTTTCTATCCCTCTGGCTGGTCATCTGTGACTCTGTAACCTGACTGTGCGACACTACACTGCCTTTGCTGAGTTTCAGGTGCAAAGGAAGTGTAAGCAAAGCTRCAGCAGTCAGGGAAAATGGGGACAGCATGGGGAGAGCTTACTCAACTCGCCCAGCTGGCCTCTGCAGCAACCTTTGCCTGAGAGCCACCATGTCCCCTCCCTCCTGCACAGCACTCTCCCACTGTTCCACTCCGGCCCCAGAGAAGTGGATCTTTGCTCCCATACAACCTCCCAAAACACTCCAGGTTTCCACAGCCTGTTTTTCTGCAGGGGCACCAATCTCTGTTMCCCTCCCCTGTAAGACACTGTCCCACCTGCACATTCCCCTTCCCCCAGGGCTCAGTCTCCCTTCCTTCCCACCCCAAAATGCAGCTTTRTTAACTGTAAGAAGCTGAAGGTGACTGTGGTGAGGGCTGGAGTTTCGCTCTCGGGGATCTGACAGGAAGCTCACCCGCACTCTTGCCCAATCCTGCCCTTCCTGCCAGATCGGCCCCAGCCAATGTGCCACCCCATTGACCAACTGCCGGCTGCTGTGCCCCAAAGCAGCCCTTGGCACCGCCTTATTAGGGCATTTCATCGTGTGCAAAACTCCTCCGAGCGCACACAGGGCACAGCCCCACATGGCGTGGGTGGTGTGACTCATGGGCTCCCACTCTTCTCCTCTGAGTTCCCCTGGGAAGGGCAGAAGGTTCAAAATGTCCTTCCCTGGTGAAGGAGCAGTTTGAAGGAACTCACTTTCGTGGACTACCATCTGTCCCATTTCATAAAAGCTACATAAGAGGATGCCACCAAGCATGGGGGAAGCTGGTTGGGATTTTTAATGTAGGAGTTGGGTTCTTACTCCCTGCCCCTCAATATCTTGTTTCTCATTATTAAATAAGAAGATGCAGTAATTTCTGGCAAGTGGTCATGTTCCCTAGCAAACCAGACCACAACTGAGAATCTACAGAGCTGAGGTATATTCCACRCTGCTTCTGACGACACCTCTGTACAAGGACAAGAGAATTTAACACAAAAACTGGCTTGCTGRCTTTGCAGATGAGAAATCCCCACTAATGGGGAATTTTCAGAGAGCCACTTAGGAAAATATGGGCTGATATGATGTATCCTTTATCTTAGTGTTAAGGCTATTTCTCTCCTCATGGGGAAAACTTAAGACAGAAAGCTGACGGARCAGTGTAATCCCATCTCCAAATTTCGATGCATCCTGTAGGGATTCAGTGCCCTCAGAAGATACTATGCCTGAGAAAGGAAGAGAACAACAGAGCCAAGATCAGCCTTGCTAGGGAAGAACTGTTCATCTCTTCTGAATTTAGCTCCAAATAGTCTGTGTTAGAAAAAAGTTGTTCTGAAAAGCAGTTTCACTCTGGGGAATAAACAACCAGGATCAGAAACTCCTTAGGAAGAAAGCAAGCTTTGGGGACATATGGGGGAACAGGGACAGTGTCATTTGCATAGGATACAAGATATGGGAAAGTTCTGACATTCACAGCATTATTTGTCCTTCCTTCTTGTAAAGGTGCATCATTGTGCATGTGTAAGTGTTGACTGTTATCTGAAACTATTCCTTAATAGGAAGGTATTTATCRTAAATGTCAACTAATTCACTCAGCATTTCACTGAAYMGTCTCCCRTACCTCTTGATTCTCCCCCCTTTTCCCTGTAACTCTCTTAATTACATTTCCTTTTCTAATCTTGGTGCCCTGCTCTCTCTCTCTGCCTTCTCCCCCTACTCCTCTGTTCTCCAAAAGGTGTCCTACTTGCCCCGGATGTGCCTACAGTACTCCTCTCCACCYCAGCCCAGTTCTGACGAGGAGGACATAGAGAGGCAGAGCCCCCCGTTGGAGGTGTCAGATGGGGAGAACGATGGTGTGGACCCTGGGCCTGGAATTATGCATGGAGAAACAGGTCAGTGAAAACAAGGATTTTGCAGCTATGAACAGAGCAACTGTTGCATTGCCATGATAATATTGAATAAAACTGTAGAACTGCTAGAATTTTATGTCACTGCGAAATCTTCCCTTTCCCTGACTCTTCACACTCTCCTGTGCTCTGAATCCTTTACAAGCGAAACTATCTCAAATCTCACTTCTTCATGTATTCCTCTCCCTCCTTTGGCTTTATCTGTTTGGGCTTCCTGAATGGAAATGGCTTTTGCCATTTCTGCTCCAATTTCTATTAACARCCAGGAAAACCAAGACAAGAAGGTCAAGGAAGAGCTGATTTAAAAAAAAAATATTTAGCTCTCTTTGCTCAGTACCTGAGACTCACATTCTGTATAATCTGCCAAAATCAGATTTAGACTGGTTTTGAACTAGCAGTGTTTTTCAATTAACTTCAAATTAGCAAATGAATTCAGAAGTTTAGCCTTTGGAATTAGTTATTCTTGCCTTTTCTGTTTTGGTACATCAACTGGCATCGTGTCCTCACAGTGTTACCTTGTCTGCTGTTACAGATGCTGCAATCTGAAGGAGTTAGGTGTGTCCCAAGCTAGCTGAAACTCTTCAATATCTTCTACTACACACAAATACTAATACTCCACTGGCTTTCTTCTCTGACTCTCACACAGGCAGCAAGAAAAAGATACGCCTGTATCAGTTCCTTCTGGACCTTCTTCGCAGTGGGGACATGAAGGACAGCATTTGGTGGGTGGACAAGGAAAAAGGTACTTTCCAGTTCTCCTCCAAGCACAAAGAAGCACTGGCRCATCGCTGGGGCATCCAGAAAGGCAATCGCAAGAAAATGACCTACCAGAAGATGGCACGGGCTTTGAGAAACTATGGCAAGACAGGGGAGGTCAAGAAAGTTAAGAAGAAGCTGACCTACCAGTTTAGTGGAGAGGTGATGGGAAGGGGGGCCGCTGAGAGGAAGCATTATCCTCACTGAGGCCATGGGACCCTAAGCAATCAAAATATTCAGAGCTCCTGGCTGGATGCCAGCAGAGGAGATGGACATATCTTTCTCTTTGCTTCCTGTGCCCCGTTCTCTGCCTTTAAACAGCCTTTATCATCAGATGTTTCTGGTACGAAATCCCTTCTTCAGCATCTGAGAATCCTAATCATGACAGAATTCTTTGCTTCCATCCTCCAAGTTGGACAGAGTTGGGAAATTTAAACAGTGTACAAATGTATGGTCGTCAGGAAAGATTTTTTTTTTTTTTTGATTGTATTGTAACTAAAGAATACAGAAGTTTTGCCTCCAGAGGTGGTGCTGTGTCACTCCCRGTGACACTGCATTAGCTTCCAGCTTTTAAACTAGCATTAATACAGGCTCTGCCGCAGCTCTCAGAGCTAGAGAGAAGTTTGCAGATCTTGGAATGATACTCATTCTTTTAAATAGTAATAACATGTACATATTTAATAAAATTAGATATAATTAAGTTTTGATGTKTGCATAATAAATGATTACTCCACAAACAAATGTCAAGCTTTCAGTTATGCAGATACAGCTCAGTTGTGGTGCCTGAACAAAAGGTGCCCTGGATTATCCTGCCTTATCCATCTGTCGCTACTTTTTAATTTACCTGAAAAAATCTTTGGTGCTGTCAAACCCAGTAAGAAATGTAACAGTGAAATACATTACTGGGAAYGAGACAACAGTACTGAAGTAAATTTTAAAATGCATAAAATGCATGTGTGTGTGTGTATATATGTATATATTTCTCACTATTTTTTCCTGTGCCAATGAAACCCTGCCAGCTGAACATTTTCTGGTCATGTATACCAAGAATTGCATTTATTGCAACCTCCATCCTGTTTAGAACAAAACAATCAACCATATTCTTCCGTGGTTTCATTTATTTTCCTGTTCCTGTTCTTTCTTCTTACTTTCCCCACAGTGACAATTTCATTCTAGCTTACTAGCCTTTCTTGGAAATAAGTTGTATTTAATAATGTCTTTGCAGAATTCCAGTACAAAAGGGTTTCAAGATTTTAACTGTGGATTTTAATCCCTACTGTAAAACAATTAATAGTAACTAATAAAAACTACACTGTATAGATAACACTCAAAATSCAAAATAAAAAATAATTCAATACCTAAGACACCATGGTAAATTTACCCAGTACATCTAAACACTGAAATTAAGTCCAAAGTCAACTAACAGTAAGAAAATTAGCWTTTTAAGTTTCAGCATTATTTAACATATGTCAACGGGTTCAATCATTCAGAAACCAGGAAATATCACCAGGACAAAATAGACGAGGTGAAATGAGGCAGATCCAGAATGAAGAAAAGGGGATTTTTTATAATACTGAAATGCAGTACAACATACCAAATATCACTAAATAACCCAAAATKTTTCAGAGCTTGCTCCTCATTGGAATCAGAAATAGTTGAAAGTGATGAGCTTCTTACAGACCTAAGCTCTCAAAATTAAATCTAAGCACAGTCAGTGTTATCTACACCAACAATCTTACTGTGGAAAAGTTTGGTGACATCACAGGGCTACAGTGTCTCTTTGGAGCCAAACAGAAAGAAGCTCCTGCTCAAAAAACATCACAAACTAGCACTTCTCGATTCTTCTTCCCAGTTCATAAACATGATAAATAGATCAGTCAGTCACAAAAATTAACCAACAGTTATCTTTCAAACTTCTAAAAATCTTGTAATCCAACTTTTAGTTACAGTTCTTTGAGAATCATGTGTACTCTCCTAGTCAAATATTTTTCATTCGGGGTTAGAATAAGTCAAAGCTGTRTAACAAATAAAGGAGTCATTTTGTTTCTGAAATTGTACTGGAAGGATTTACTTCCTATAGGACATACTCAGTAAATTAGACTTGTACAACTCCATCTTGCACCCATATTCATATTTTAGGATGGAAGCTGAAGACAGTAAAAGCAGCTCTCAGAAGGCAACACCCAGCACTGACACAATTAAGTTTTCTTTTTGCTGAGCTAGAAACTCAGGAAATCTCTGCTTGGTACTGATGATGACTCTCCCCACTGGCTTGGAATTAAAAAGAGATGGAAGACATTTGCACTCATCAGACTTGCAGACTTCAAGAATAAATATTAAAGAAAACTAAGGKAATAATTCCTCTCTTCAAAATATCTTTCTCACAAACACAGCTTCCAAGGCAGAACTGATCTTTCTTTGACACTATAATTTGGAGGAGAAGGATCAKTTCCTCTTGCAGGAAAACTGTGATAACTGTAAAGAGCCAACTGGTGAGTTAATTGTGGAGATGCTTAGGATATAACAAAAGCCATTTCAAGTTTACCCTTTCTAAGATCTGTGAGACTATTTTTCCATTTCCCTAGCAAGTCTTGCACAAAAGCCAATTAGATGCTGGAGAAATAATACAAAACTAAATAAGAATTCAAACAGAAGCAACAAGAACCTTTAAATGAGCTATTTGAACACTCATTATTATAAAATGTTAATTTACAGCAACTGCTTGTGCTTGAATTAGTGAATTTGCATTTCACCCTAGTTTTGCCCACAAGAAACATGGAAACAGAAGAATCTGAGAAAAATATTTGGGGAAACAATATTATTATTAATTAAAACTTTTTTTTAGGTACTATTGAATCGACATTAAAAAGAAGGCTTAAAAATTTATCTCCAAAGTTGAAAACTTTTTCTCTTCCTCTTGTTAATGCTTTGAAATTCTGTTTCTAAAAATATTCGCACCCCATCTGTTTCTGGTTAGGTTTTTCATCTGTGGCATAAAAAGTGAATAATCATGTGTTGCAGCTGTGAAGGAGACCAAGTGCTGATGCTCCTCTCCCAGAGAAATGCTTCTCTGCCRTGCAGTCCAAGTGGTGTGGATGCAAGGCTGTCTAATCAAGATGAATTATTGCCTTTCAGTGGCACATGCAAGCAGAACCTCTTCAGCTGTGTTAGACAAAAAATACCAAAATTAATGTATCACAGGTTCTGCAAAATTACAGAGCAGCAAGCATTCCATTTTCTCTGAAGGTGGCCAAGTACTAGGCAGGCAGACGTGCTTAGTCAATGTCAGGGGGTCATTATTTGGAGAAATGTCAGGGGGGGTCATTATTTGGAGAGATGACCCATGATTAGCACAAGTCATTGGAACATTTTGCAGCCCACTGCTATTAGAGATCATCAATCCTCTTTCAAAGCAAGTATTCCTACTATGAAGGATATTCAAATTATATTTGGCCCTTTTGACCTGCTTTAAAAACCAGCTTTATTAGCTGGTGAGTGGTTCTTAATCAATTCTTGTGGAAAGATTATTGAGAAAACTATCAGTGAGTTAAATTCAAAATACTAAACTGCTCCTACAGTATTTTAGACTCCCTCCAGCCATACATCAGAGGCATCGAAGGTAGAAAAATTGTGTTGGCTGCACTGATAATCTGCTTTAATAAATTACTGTGGTTTAGTGTATTTTTAAATTCTACTTAGTGAAAGAGAGTTTTAGCCATTTCTAGATGTAAGATGTAAGGTTTCTTTTCCTCAGTAAACCTTCTGCCTCAGTTCACTTTTTCTATTTGTATCCCTTGATCTCTTTGCCTTTCTTCCATTTCTTTCTATTTTTTCTTCCCACATTCGAACCTCCACACAACAAAATTCACTTCGTAATCATCGAGCTTAATTCAAACTATAGTGCCAACATCATAACTAATACATATATCACATGACAGTTCAATTCAATCTATTTATACTGTTGCTCAAAATTTTGCATGTACTTTAACTGCACATTGTAAATTCATAGCAAAGACTTTATAAATTATGAAAACACAATAAGCATTTTTCATTTGAGAATACCCAAGACAGTATGCTCTCAATGGAGATCCCACACTTGAGTACTTAAAATGTATGGATTACAGATAGAAAAGACTATGATAACACATAGACTGTGGCACCAATTCCAAGAATTTRCATTTGTTTCTAATTTATTTTATGTGCTAACTTGCTATCTCACCATCTTTCCTTGTTCTAAGAAATATTCAAATCAGATTTACATAACTTTGCATACCCCTAAACCTAAAACACTAAAAATGCAGCACTGGTAATAAAAAYGCTACTCTAATCAACCCACTAATATACTAAAGTGAAATAGACAAAGAATTGTAGCARTAGCTAAAACTTCACAAAGTTCCACCCTTCCTCTCTAACAAATTAGCACATTGCAAAAAAGTTGAGGCTGTGCTATTGGAGAGGTCTGTATATAAACCAAATGATCAGAGTTCTATTCCAAGAGCTGGAGAATGTGAACTTCTTCCAAAGAGCATAAAAACAGCAGTAGGCTGCAGATATTCTTTCTCATTTCCTCACTCATAAGTCATCCATGTCAGCCTTAGCCCAGCACCTCACATGATTCCACGGGATCACAGAGCACCTGGGTTGGAAGGGGTGTTTTGAGGTCACTTCATCCAACCCCCTACTCAAAGCAGGCCAATTAGATCAGGTTTTTCAGGGCAACTTTCTTTCAATTTTCTGTTTCTTTCCATTCCCTCCACTCATCCAGCCACATCCTCCTTCTTCATGCCTTTTGTTCCCCACARTGTTACATTTTGCTATTGGGGAGCTAAAGCAGTACGTGAGAATGAGCAGAGCAGTCGATGGACAGGAGGGGAATGAGGATGTGGTGGAGCAGATAAGGGTTAGCAGGAGGTGGTGGAGGAGAGAGAAGGGTGGGAGGAGGTGTTGGGGAGACCAAGGTTATGCAAAGGATTGGGGAAGCGGCTTTGTGGTAGGAAGGAATGCAGTTTCTGCCCTTTAAGGGCTCCCTCTGAGCTTCTATTTCAACTCCCCAGCAGCAGAGCAGCAGTGCTGTAGGTATGAGAAGCCCTTTGACCACCAGGTCCTTTGTGCAGAATACTTCGATTCCTCTTCCTTATGCAAAGTGAAGAATGGTTGGGTACGGAGCTGGGCATTTGTGTATACAAATCAGTTTGGGTTCTTTTAGATTTACCTGACTAGGTTTCTATGATTTGAGTGTCTGCTTTTAGAAACAAAAGTTTAGATTTCTTCTTTAGACATTCCCTCTTCCATTTTTCCCCACTCACCAACACTGYACTATCCTTCCTCAGCCAGCCCGAGCTATCCATTCCCAGCTCTTTGTTCAGCTTTTCTCCATGGCTCTACTCAGCCACAGATGCCTCCATATTTAATAGATTACTGATTTATTCCCATGTCCATTTTCAGCTTTTGCCCAGCTATTTTATTGCTTTCTCTCAGGCCAGCATTTCTCACAAGTTCCTCCAGTCAGCTTCTCTTCATCTGAATGGTTCTCAGTTCCAATGTATTTGTTCAGCCATTCATAGTTTTCCCATCCCACATCCTCTTAYGGTTTCAGTCTCATCACCAGTTCTCTTCCCTCCACCCCATTTCTATCCCAGCTCCCCATTTATTATTCTCATTCTCTGAGGATCTATTTCAACTTCCTCCCATAATACCAAGCCTCAATTTTCAACCCCGTCCATGCCCTTTTATCACATATTTTTATTTCCTTGCCCCATTCATATTAGAAGAGCATGCCCCTTCCATCTCTGTATTTCCAACTATTTGATTCCCCACCTCTGCCTGTTCTCTCCTTTATTCTGATGTGCCTGAGGGAGAYACTGTTTGGAGCACAGGACACAAAGGCTGTTTACTTTTAGTTTAAGCCTGTGAATTAAATCTGAGTCTCAATTAGCCCAGAGAAAAATGCATAGAAAACTCTGCTGACCCCTGCACTGGACCTCATTGACACCAACAAAGCTTTTTCAGAGGATAAAATGTAGAAGGTTCTCACAAAACATATGCAGACTGTGGTTTTTTCCCTTAGTCTAGAATGTGACCTGCAGCAACCCAGGTTGGTTATTATGAAACCAGTTGAAAGAATATCCCTAAAATGAAAGCAAATTACTGTCAAATACACAGAAAAAGCTCAAATATGGAGTGCAAAGGGTAGGGATACAAAATGGTTGTATCCCTAGCAGAGGAAAGCTCGAATAAGCAKGAGCAGCATTTCCCAAATCTCGTAAGTCCTTGTGAACTCAAGTTCTGTCAGTAAGGCCAAGCGGCTTTGCACTGTACACAGCAGTGCTCTGTGCTTCAAAAACTCAAAGGAAACAGGGAKGTTTAGGTTGGATATTGGGAACAGATTCTTCACCCAGAGGGTGGCTGGGCACTGGAACAGGCTCCCCAGGGAAGTGGTCACAGCACCAGCCTGACAGAGTTCARGAAGCATTCRGACAATGCTCAGGCACATGGGGTGAGTGTTGGGGCTGTCCTGTGCAAAGTCAGCTCTGGGCTGGATGATCCTTGTGGATCCAGCTCAGGACAGTCTATAATTCCATGAGCACTTCAGTGAGCGAGTCCTGCTGGGTCTGTACCCACTGAGCCACCTCAGCTGTGCCACCATTCCCAGCAGCAAAGCTGCAGCCACGGAGAGACAATTTCACTGCCTTGTCCTCAGAAACTGCCGAACCACGGAGGAGGTGGCATTTTCATAAAACAAAACAGAGGCAGAG